GATTTACGTTATCAAGCTTAACCTCACTATTTCACTACATTACCCAGCTTTCTTAATTGATAATATCTTTCAAAAACTATAGCATGGCCAGATGTGGTGGCACACACCTGTGATCCCAGTACTTGGAGGCTGAGGCATGAGGACTGCTGCTAGTTCGAGGTTAGCCTGGGCTACACAGTGAGTTAAAAAGGCCAGCCTGAACTGCACAGTGAAATCCTGTCTCAAAAAGACCAAACAAAGTATAGTCAGAGACAAAGCTCAGCAGCACAGTGCCTGCCTGGCAAGTGCAAGATCCTGAGTTCAATATCCAGTACCAAAAACAAAAACAAAACTATAGTACAAGATCACAACCAGGATCCTGACATTGATGTAGTCAAGACAGAAGATGCCTGTATCACTAGTTCTTTTTAAAATAAGGGTTATTAATGCAAACTTGATTTTTTCCTATTTTTATTTCCATTATTTTGAGACTATATTAAACAATAAATATAAAAAAATTGAAATAGATCTTTGTGACCATGTGGGTAAGCTCTCCTTTATTCTCTCTTAGCATCCTTCTAATTCTGAAAACAACCTCTGTAGGAAGCGGGGGAAAGGCAGGAAATGCCTAACAAAAACACTACCAATCAAGTCACCTGGGAGAACACAGTCTGACCGTGTATATTTACAAAGGCCTACAATTTACAATCATTAGGATTCATTTTTGCACAATCTGCATTTTGTATAATTTTCAGATTCATCTTTCATTAAATGTATCAAACTAGAGAAAAATATCAAGAAACATTTATTTATTAATAGTATTCACCTTTAATTAAAACATCACAAATTTTTTTCTTACCTTGGTCACCAAAATTTAATATGTTAAAAAATGTCATCACATATCGCTCACCTATAACGGAAAAGCAAAATAATTAGCTCTTAAATGCAGACTAATTTCTTGCTTCCTTTTCTCTTATCATATATCAACTTTTATTGTTGACAAATACTCTCAAATAGACATATTAGTTGTCCTAATGCTGATTTCAAGTAATAATAATTTGGAAAGTGCTGAGGGCTTTACTAAAAGCAAATCTATAAGCCAGTGTCTCAGTTACTTTGCTCTCGTTGCTGGGACAAATACACGACACCCAAAATGAAGGAAAGGTTTATTTAGCTCATAGTTACAGGAGGTTTCAGGCCATACTCAGCTGGCTCCAAGGCAGAGCAGCACATGGCAGAGGGCAACCTTTCATGGTGGCTGCAAAGAGCAGAGAGCAAAATGGAGGAGCAGCAGCAGCAGCAGCAGCAGCAGCAGCAGCAGCAATGCCAACAGGAAGCAGGTCTGTTCCCCTGAACTGCATTCAGCTGTCCGCCCCAGGCTGAGTGTAGCACTCACACCCATAATCCCAGCAGATCACGAGTTAATCACAAACTCTAGAAGTCTGCCCCATGACTGCATGGGGCTTTGGGGGGACATCTAGAGACAAACCATAACAGCCAGTTAATTAAAACCAACAACTAATAACACCAGTCTAATACATTTTTTAAAAACCTCTGGGAGATTACTAAGATGTCAGTAATAAGAACTGTCCCAGGTCTTGAGGTTGGAAGGGGAATGTAACTAAGAAGGGGGATGTCTCTCAGTGTGGGCACAAGCACATCTCAGTTTCCTCTAGCGTGGACAGTGCTCTAGAGGCCCAGTTTATCACTGAAACTGAAGACAGCCCAATGCTCGCAAGATGAAGACACAGCCTGGGCCCCCTCCTGCCTCCACCCCCACCCCCAGTTTTCCTGATTTCTTGTTCATGAGTGAAAGGCACTGATGACTATGGAGACAGAGTACTGAATAGTGCCCACAGCCTCCAAGGCCAAATCCTCACCTCCTAGAAAAAGGAACACATGGAGAGGCTAGGTTTCCATCTTCTCTCAAGTCGCTCCCCTTTCTGATCTTGTCCCCTACATGTGTGTGGCAGGGACCTGTGAAAGTCCTCCCAGGCCTGAAGCTCTGTGCTTCTCAGGTACACCCTCATGGCCAACAGTTACAGCTTTTGTAAATACAGTAGGTCTTCTATATCTGGAGGTTATGCATCCAAGGATTCAACCAACTGTAGATCAAGAATATTAAAGAAAAAAAAAAAAAGCCAGGTGTGGTGGCACACACCTGTAACAGCAGCATTCTGGGAAGCCGAGGCAGGAGGATAGTAAGTCCAAGCCCAGCAGGCAACTTAGTGATTTACAGAGGCCCTGTCTCAATAGACTCTAAGAAAGGTCTAGGGATGTAGCTCAGTATGAAAGCCCTAGGTTCATGCTCAAGTACCACCAAAAAGCAAAATGCACCTAAGCTGAATGTGTACATTTTTCCCCTCATCATTATGCCCTACAGTATACAGTATAACAATAGCATGCTAAACAATACAGTGTAACATCGATTCACACTGCACTTACAATGCATTAGGTATTGTAAGTAATCTACAGGTAAAGTGCACAGAAGGACATACCTGGCTTATATGCGAACACTACCTTACACAACGGCCTTGCGCATCCTTGAGTTCTAGTACCCATAATGGGGTGCAGGGCCATCTAGGAATCAGTCCTCCTGCACATGGAGGGCCAACTGTAACAGCTGTAGGTCAATCCCTGTTTTCACACCATCGGTGCTTTCAGGAAGTTCAAGATCTTTCAGTTTGCATTAAGGCTTTTATAAACTGACTCTGAGCTATGTTTTTTGAGGGGTGGTTTGTTTTACACTATTGGGGATTGAGTCCAAAGCACTCAAACTGAGTGAGCTATATCCCCAGCCATTTTATAGTTTTTATTTTGAGACAAAGTCGCACTAAACTATTTAGGCTGGGCTCAAACTTGTGATCTTCCTGCCTCAGCCTCCCAGAGGGCTGGGATTAGAGGCATGGATCACCACCCTGGCTCCCAAGCCAAATTTGTGGTTCCCTTTACCAACCTCACTCCTTGGTCTTTCTGTTATACCTCACCTACCTGAGGTCATCCTCCAGCTGCTCTGAGTCAGCCTAGGCCTAGTGGCCATTCTTGCCACCTAGAATGGTTTATTTGCAGTATCCTTCCTGTCTTGTGACAGAATAGGCCTCTTCTCACATTCTGTAAGCTTCCTGAGGGCGGAGGCCTCTCACTGTCACCTCTCTGGTTTGCTGGCAGAACTTCAGGAAATGAAGTGGCACTTGGGGATTTCTGGTGAGTGGGTTAGGTATGGCCCCACCAGGCACAGAACAGCTGACCACACGACATTTGCAACTGTGTTGGAAGATCGCGCTCCTTGGACCACGTTATTTACTCATTTACTCTGCCCTGGCACTCTGTGTGTACAGGAAATGTGGGCAGAAGGGAAGAGCATATTACTGAAAGCCATTTCAACTTTTTCTCTTCTTTTTCTTTTTTCTTTTTTATATAGCGTCTTGCTATGTAGCGTAGGCTGCCCCCAAATCATCATGATTCTCCTGCCTCAGCCTACCAAGTGCTAGGAGGAATTATAGGCAGGCTCAAAGTGTTTTTTAGAGCTGTAGTTTTTAAAGATAAAAAGAATCTGGGAGTCATAGTCAGGCTACTTCTTTACTTCATAGCCACGAAGAAAGATGTCCTGAGAAGTTCCTATGTTCCTCTGCCAGTCAGGCAACCAGGCTAGGATGGTCCAACTGCAAAGCAAGCACTCAGCACTGCATTCAGGCCAAGCTCAGGAAGCTAAATACACAGCAAACTTAAACCTGCTGTTGCAAACACATGTGTGGCCACGGCAACGCAGCCAACCAGCTGAGGACATCATTTGGAGTGGACCCATCCTCTCAAACTCAGACGGCTCTTAAAACTTTGGGAGGAAAACAAGTGCTTAACAACCTTTCCAGAACCTTCTCCACTGATTTTCTTACTCTAAGAACAATGTGAACTATCAAGTACACAACTTCCCTACAGTTATCTTCTGTTGTTGTCGCTCTTCTTGCTTGATCGCTAAATACCTGCTGAGTATTTATCAGGGCCAGGCCTGGCAAGGACAGTGGTGAGCAACACACTTCCTGCCTCACAGCTCAACACCTTCACTCAGGCTGTGAAAAGGCTTCTAACCTGTATAGCCCTTAAACAGTTGTACTGTCATACCAGCAAGGTTGTCAGTTCAGGCTAGATGTACGTACTCGAGAAGGTCAAGGAGCACTCAGACACCGCTCGGTCATCTCCTCAGCTCACAGGCAGGCAGGTGAGGCCTGGGGGAACTGCTTCCCTTTGGAAGACTACTTAACAAAAAGTAAAGATGGGGGAGGGGTAACAAGAAAATAAGGAGAGTAGGTGTAAGGGGATGCGAGGATTATAGGAAACTTCTGTTTTTGGAATTTTTGTAATGGGATTGTTACTTTTATAATTAAAAGATAATTTTGCAAAAATTAAGAAATACGTTCAGTAATAGACACATAAGTAAATGGACATGTGATGTGCATGCAGAAAGAAACTACCACTGTTAGCCGCTCCTAATCTCATTCTTTGAACTTATGCTGGATACAAATAAACCAACACACACACACACACACACACACACACACACACACACACGTTATTTCTGCTCCTTCCTGGTCTTCTGCATTAGGAGCTCTGTTGTAGCTAAACTAGGCAGGAACTGCGGGGTCTGACCAAACTATCATACTGGACAATAAGTGGACTGATGGTGCAGTGGTACATGGGTAATTTCAGTGCTCTGGACGTTAGTGCAGCAGACTGCAAGTTTGAGCCTGGCCTGGGCAATTTAATGACTTAGTAAGACGATCTATGGAATCTTTGTTTTTTTGTATCTTTTTGTGATACCGGGAATCAAACTCAGGACCTTGCGCTTGTGCTGAGCATAGGCAGGCGCTTATGTTGCTGAGCTGTCTCCCTGGCCCAAAACTCTACCTAAACATTAAAAAAACAAAACAAAACATTTAAAGTTAAAAAAAAAAAGGCGGGGGAGCTGGGCATGATGGTGCATACCTGCAATCCCAGCACTCGGGAGGCTGAGGCAGAAAGACTGCTGTGAGTTCAGGACAGCCTTGGATATGGAGGATCAG